AAGAACTTGAAGTAAATCTTAAAAGCAACATCAACCTTGTCATTTCACTGGCTGATTCATATTAACACCGCTCCTTGCATCCTGCTTACCCAGACCTCTCCATAAGAAGGTAAATAGCAGCGTGAACAGGATGTAGCCCCAGTTCCACTCATGCTCGGTTGTAATGGTGACGACGCCCAAGAAGAAGAAGATGAGGGTCTCCGAGATAGAGCCCAGCATCTTGACCACGTGCCGGATGGTTGTGCAAGAACGCTGGGAAACATTCTCCTCGACGTAGTACTTCATGGTGAGGGCACAGCAAACAATGCTGCATCGACGCACAAACAGTGACAGCCTTTTAATTTATTTTGATTAAAGCAGTCTACAGTTTAGATATTTGAATACGCGAGACCGTTTCAAAGCCACTCACGCCATGATGGAGGAGATGGCAAAGAGCTCGGCCACCAGGTACGCCAGGTAGCTGAACATGAAGATGAAGAGGGGTTCGATTTCTCGGACCTTGGAGGTGAATCTTGTTGTGAAGGCGGCCACAAAACCAAAAAGCACGCCAAAGCCCATCCCCCCAAGGCCGACCACAAAGAACCTCGCCACTCCCAAGAACACATCTTCAGGCTCCACCACCTCCATCTCTGCCACAAAGGTGAACATGCTGTACAACACCTGAAAACAGGCAAACATAGAAGCTCTCAGAGGTCATGGGAATGGTTAGAAACTCTGGTCTCTAATTTTGAAATGCATTCATTTATTTCGGGGTGTCAAACTCCAGTCCTCAGATATGTCACAGTTAGAAAAATCTTACTGCTCCTATTTTTAGCTTATATGCATAGTGTCAAATGTGTTCTCATTCTTATTCCTGGGTTTCCCTAAAGACCCCGTGTAATGTTTGTTTTCTGTGTAATCTACTGCAGGCGAAGCAAAAAGGTGACAAACTCAGTGAAAGAACTGGTTTACAGAGCTGGGTTTGGTCGGAGTGTTTGAATATAAAACGAAGGGAACTTGAGCGGTGGGGGAGGGAGGATGAAGTCACTTCGGTCATGTAACAGACAATATGTGCATGTGTTGACTCCTCCCACGCTACCGAACGCACATGCAACTGTGACCTCAGAAACAGGTTTGGCAGCATCTGAGCAAACAGGCTCTGAATGAGGCTGATATGACACATTTGTTTCATTTCTCAAACATCCTTTTGCTTTTTCTCCCCCTCGTTTATTGGTACGGCCATCGCGCCTGTGGGCCAGCGTTTCTCCCACACACATTATGTTGTCACGCATAACTAAAAAAAAAAGTCAGATTAAGAAAGCGTTATCAAGGCGATGAAACCTGAGTTGAACCTTCTGAAGAAGAATAGAAAAACTTGCTCACTGCACAATACTAGACGTTTTGTGTGCTCAAAGGGTTTTAAATGACAGGAGGGGTAAAGCAGAGACAATGATGAATTAAAACCTTTGAAATAATATAAAGTAGTAAATATTCCTGTGGGACTAGACTGTGTTTACGTGGAGTCTAGTGCTATTTTGCTGCACTGAGAAAAATAGACTCTAATTGCATACTGTTTTCAAACCAAATAGTGACAGAACAATCCTGATAAGGGCATCAAGCTTCGACGTTAACAGAAAGGATCAGAAAGGTTCTCGCTGACCACAGTGACGGCGTCGTTAAAGAAACATTCTCCGAACACCACGATGTAGAGCTGCTCGTTCACAGAAATGTCCTCAAAGACGTTGAGAACCGCCACGGGGTCAACGGCTGAGATGATGGCCGCAAACAGCAGGTTCTCCTGGAGGTTGATGTCCTGCACGCCGAACGCTTCGATGTGGCATATGGCAAACAGGGACATGCCGATGCCGATGCTGTTCCAGAGGGTCCCCACCACTGCGAACCACAGCACCTGCACACCGGAGGAAGAGCACGGGTCATTAAGTGCAGATGAGTGAAGGAATGGGAATGTGGCCGAGTGGTTCGCTCACGGTGCCCACGTTCTCGAAGAACGGCCTGGTGGGCATGAAGTAGCCCGAGTCCAGGACGATAGGGGGCAGCATGTAAAGGAAGAAGACATTGCTGCTGAGAACAGCTGGAGGCTCCTCGTGGACGGAGTGCATGATGGCACCAACAATCAGACCGATGCTTATGAGAAGACATGACTCCGGCACCCAGATCGTTATCTTGTGATACACATGAAAACCTGAAAGAGAAGAAAAAGAGGAAGATGTGACTTTCTGCAGCTCAATAAGTTAGAAAATTATTACAAAGTTATTTCAATGATTCGACCAAAACAAAGCCAAATTTGTTACACACAGTGCAACTTGGTTCAAGTGTGTATTTTGTTAATGTTTGCCATCTTGACTTACAGCTAATAAGAAGCACAGGTTAATTTTCTCAATAAATGAAATAATATAAGAGCAGTTAAGGAGAATTATTTCAAATGCATCTGGGGGAAGACATCTGAAGCAGACAGTCATAAAAACCCTTCATAGTCGGGGAGCTGTGGTGGCGCTGGACTATAGCACAACCCATAAGGAGAATTTGATGTCACAGGTTCAAGTTCCAGCCCGATGTCCTTTGCTGCATAATGTCTTCAGAAAAATTAAGATCCCAGAGTCTGCAGGACGCCTGGAAGTCCACAGAATCCAAGTTGCTTGAGGTCTGGTGGGTATTCTCCACAGCTGGTGATGTCTTCACGCTTCATTTTTTTACTTACAAGCTTAATGGAGATGATGAGGGTTTGGCCCCGGCCCAGTGCTACAAGTACCAATACCTGCTTTACAAGTGGTACCTTTGTGCAATTGCAATAAACTTGCTAGAAGTTGACCTGACCTAAACACAGTAGAGACTCAGTAATGTCCAGAGGAAGATGAGAGAGACTGACCCAACAGTGCAGATGAGATGAAGGCTGCTATTAAATTAATCTGCACTTTCTTTAAGATCTCAGCAAACCCGTACAAATATAGAGCACAAAATCTACATCAAAATACTTTTCAGCAGTTTGATGTTTCTGTATTAAAAGATATTATTTTGTTCTTGTGCAGTATTCACATTTTATGGATAGCAACATGTGGGGTTGTCCAAATGTTGTCCACAAACCAAAACAAACCCCATAACTTTGTTTTTAATTCATTTGAATGTGTTATTCACATAAGTTCATGTACAACAAGCTTATATTTGACATCGGACCATCTGCAAAGTTCACATCTTTAATAAACTACACTCACCGATTTTTGCAAACGAGGCCAGAAGCATCCATAACGTGATCTCAAACGGGATTTGTATTCTGGGATAGTCCATAGAGAACACAGGTAAATTGGAAGGCACGTCATCTGGATAAGCCTGGGGTCCATTATCGGGCTTGTTCGGGGGTAAAATCGTGGCCCCTGCATTTGGTTTATGGGGAGCTTCACCGTTACAACCATAAGGAAGACTTAAAAGTGTGCAGGTAATGAGCACAGCGAGCGCTCGTTTGGTGCAGCTGAAAGTCATGGTGCGCAAAAGACGCAGTTCATGAGCTGCAGTATGAACACTGTGGAGGTTGAAACACGATCACTCCATCGTCAGGCAGTAAAAAATAGTAAAAAAAAAAAACAACAAAAAAACACAAATAAATAAATAAAATTAAATTTAAAAAAATTTAAAAAAGAAATAAAAACAAATACCACTTCTGTTAAAAACTCACTGAAATTAAAATTCCTGTACACTCTGAGTTAAACCTCTTCAGAAAATCCAGCAACAGTGATGAAGAAAAACAGAGAAACGAGTGTTGTCTTTTTGACTGAACACCTGTGCTTCACCTGAGTCCACGAGTTTCGATACTGACTGGGTGCGGTCACCTGAAGCAGGTAAAATAAAAAAAAGGGAAACGTTCTGTGTTTCTGCAAGGTTAGCAGTTTCTGTTAGCAGCAACGTTTCAATTCTCAAAAATCAAAAAGTGCTTTTCAGTACAAGTGACTGATTTAGATCTATATGACGGATTAAAGCTTAAACGGACTGAAATGAGTAGATTTAATTGCTTGTAAATAAAGAAAACTATGAAGCAAAACTTAAACTATATAACAAAATTGTGGCTGAAATATTTTTTTCTGCCCATTTACAGCATTCTTTTATTTTTTATTTTGTGTCATTTTCCCCCAATAATTTACGTGAACAATTGTGATAAATTCACTCATGCTTATGTTATTTATTGGTAATGTTCCCTGAGTATTTTCATCTGTTTTGTTTGCATCCCCATCCGTGCACCACAGACAGCCACAGATGTGGTCACCGCGCGAATATGACAGGCAGTTGTTGTATTTAATCAACAACTAATTAAATAGTTGTTGATTAAATAAAACTATTTTATCAACAATAAATAGTTTTAATAGAAATAATAAAGTCAGAGAAGGGGGAAAACATGCAGCAAAGGTCGCCATGTGTGGGTTGTGCTTAACCCCCTGCACCACCTCAGCGTCCCAACAAAATAACGTCTAATCCAATTCATAATAACCTAAAATGCTTCTTTTTAATTTTGGTGTTGACTACCCTGGGAAAATAAACAACAACAACAACAAAAAAACCCGTCATTTCAGGATAGTTATCTCCCCATATTTATCCATGCTTCTTACTCTTCAGATATCTTCAAAAAAAATGTTTTTTTTTTCTTCTAGTATGAACACTCTGGATGTCTGACAATAAAGTAGAAGAAATCAACGATACTACTGTAAACGGTGACAGTATACTCATTTCACTTGTTTAAATCAGAATTACACAATTGCAACAAAAAATATGGTTAAAAAGCATTTTTTTCTCAACACTATTGTATAATCAATACTATAATCAATGCCTGAATTTATTTCAATTAAGTAAAAATGTTTTTCCAACATTTAAAGATACTGTCACAGATATCCAACAGAGAACACGTTTTATTGTGTTACAAATCAGCTTGCCATACCCGCCGTCAGTTTTCTCTAACAAGTACAACAGCGCCCCCGAGCGGCTGGAGCGAGCTCGGCTCCCGTCGAGGATATTACGTCCGGACGTGTCAGAGGGAGTCAGGGCGAGTCTTGACTGCAGGCATCGTCATTGCAACCAGGATGCGCATCAGCGAGACGAGAAGCCTTCACCTTTTCCCGACAGGTATGACGGATTTCTGTTCAGAGCGTGTTTCTGAGTCGGTTCTGGCTTTGGAGGTTTGCTGTCAGAGATAAAAAAAATAAAAATAAAAAAAAAGATCTCATGACGCGACGGCGTCGCTCGCAGCCTGATCCCAATGAGACGCGTTTACAGCCGAAGCGAGGAGTCCAGACGTCGGTGGTTTTGTTTTTAAATGCAATGTAACAGATCGGAGTGGATGTTGACCTGGGCAGCAGCACCACAGGACGGATGAGCATCAGGGGACGATGTGACGCAATGCTTGTTATTGTGCGTGAACGAATGAGGACAATAATAAATATTATGGCCAATGTTGCCATAAAGAAACAAAGATTTACTCCGGAGGATTTTCAATGTAGGCTGTTTACGTCCAATCAGCCTATTAAACAAACAAAGTGACAGTAATGAGGCTTATAAAACAAAGTGATAAATATTACTGGTTATGAAGGAAATATCCCCCCCTCATTTGAAAACAGAGTTATGTGCTGCCTTGTGTAGCAACGTGTCACGCCATTGCGGGCCTTTCTAACGCTGCTTAAGGAATTCATCTGAAGAGCAAGTTGACTTTATGTTGTCTTTTCTGAAATTAAAGGTCTACTGACACTCAGGGTCCTGCTTTCAAAGCTCTTTTAGGGAAGAATTTGTATGTTTTCAATCTGTATTTGTTTATATGTTTTTAATTATATTTCATGCTGGTTTTATTTGATTTCAGTTTGCAGAAAGCAATCGTGCAACATAAGCCAAATCGTCTTAATCACATAGATGTGAAGCCTTGAATATTCTCAAAATTGTCTCCAGAGGTTCTCGGTTGTCTCGGGAGTGGTTCTTGCAGGTACCTTCTTTGCTTTTCTGTTCTCTCCCTGGACACAAAGTCTTTTGCATCGCCTCCTCGTCTTTCTAGTAGTTTAATTTTAGTGACTAATGAGACACATTTGTTTGGATCAGATTCTCCTGGCCCGCAAACGTTGCACTGGTCAGCACCGAACCGAATCCTTCGGTCGATAAAGTGAAATAAACAAGCTCACTGAGTGACAGAGGAAAGGAAGTTTGCAGGTGCCAAAATGTGGAGAAGACAGGGATGATGACAGGGCAGAAGAGACGAGTCCAGATTTATGTGGAGGAGGTCTGAGAGAGAGGAGCTGCAGTGAATCTGCTGCTGACAGCATCTGCAGGAGGCCCAGCTGTGTGCAGGCAGCCCCACAAACTGGGTCACTTTTGTTTCCAGACCCTCCCGCAGGACCAAAGACCACCTAGAGCTCTGCCTTGCTTTTACTGACGCGCTTCTGCTCAGAACTTACACTCACCATGTTTGCAATTGACTTTTGTTGATATATTTTTTCAGGGGCAAAACGATTTACGGCATATAACATCAACAATATGGCTGAAAAGATATATCCTGATCAAAGCCAGCGGCGTCAAACTCATTTTCATTTTGGGCCGCATCAAAAATCTGAATGTTCTTAAAGGGCCGGTTGTGCCAGAATCTACTGGTAAAACCCATTAAGCTCTTGACATACCTGTAAACAGCTGTTTGCTAAAACAAAACAATATGAAACATCTTTGTACACTGATCAGTTCATCCTGAATGGAAAAACAATGTCACTGTTTGAAATCAAAATCACAGATTTTGTGGTGCTGATTTAGAAATATTTGAAGGGAATTTTTACTATAGTTTTGCTAACGTATGATGCTAAATGTGACTTTTTGTTGTATCGTCGTATGGACCACTTGACATCAAGTAAAGCTGAGGCAGCAGTCACTTCAACCCAATGGTTTTGTCCAAGTTTGAGAAACATTTGCTGTAAAATCAGAAACAAATGTGGGGATCGTTTGATTCACAAATTTCATCTGTGAATTTTGCGGATTTGTGAAAAACTGGATGGACTTATTGATGTAATTTGGAGTTTAGAGGGCCACATAAAAAAAACTACGACGGGCCAGATGTGGCCCCCGAGCCTTGAGTTTGACACATGTGAGATAAGCATCTCATAACAGTTGATATCAATAACTATTGATTAGTTATTGTTTTAAATATCTGAAATACTACCAAACTAGCGGCCATTGCTTCCTTTTTTTAAGCACTTATGAGGAAACCTTAAACTGCATAAACCACTGAATAGGTTGTTGCTAAAAAACCAAAGAGTGAGTGAGTTACTCTATGCCACCATCTTAGCCTTGGGAGGTCAAGCAGCCAAAGACTTTCCTCTGCCTACATCCCCCAGAAGGCTTTGCACTTCTGTATTGGAGTTCAGTGAAATGATTGGACATTGTATCAGAGGAATTATGGAGGTGTCTTCCGTAATATAATGTTCTGATTGGTTTATTGTCCTACAACAACAGTTTTTGAAGTTTGTGGTTTGATTATTGTGCCATTTAACAACTTGAATCGTTGACTTAACTCTTCAAGAAATACTCACAGCTGTTTCTGTTATTTATTTATTTTTTTTAATCTGAACTTTTCTATAAATTTTAAGATAGTCAATTCAAGTTTATTATTATAGTTTCAATTGTCTGATCAGAATGATGACTCTCAGATGAACGGAAATTATCAAAAGCCTCAAGTTAGAAGCAACAGCGTAGTTCTCCAATGAGCCCAGGCTCAAAAATCAACACTTTCAGTCAAGAGTAACAGTTTTATGTGCCGACAACGATGGGCCAAAGCCTTACAAAGAAGGATTTTACGGTCAACTGATGCAGCGCCTGACCAAGACCAGTTCAAGATCCTGAACTGATCTTGAGACCAGTTCAAGATCAAACCCACCATAGTGGTGGTGGCATGATGCTGAGGGTCTGTACACAGTAAAATTTCCAGAGTAAATTTTACACAATTTGAAAAAAATTTTACTCTAAAAAAGACAACATTTGGTCCCAGTCTAAATAGAGTAAAATTTACTCTCATGGAAGAGTTGAAATTACAGATTAAAATCAACACAATTTAGTGCAAAAATTTTAATCAATGCCAAGAGAATTTACTCCAAGTTGTTTAAAAGAAAAAATACTCTACCGTATTTTAACTCCAAGTAGAATATAATTTACTCCAAAAAGCATTGCATTCTATTCTAAGTAGAGATAAATTTTAATCTAATTAAAAATGAATTTTACATAAAATAGAATAACATTTTATTCCATATAGTATAAAATTTTAGTCCTAATTTCATTTTATTCCATATTGTGCAGTTAAACATTTAATTAAATTCTAAAGTATTACCAAATGTAACTATTTCACTGACGAAGCAATTGTTTTACAGCTATAAACACAGCTGTTTGTAAGAGTACAATGCATAGACCAGAAATCAGAATTTGGACAGCCATTTTTTATTGTTCACAGAAAACAGCATGGAACAATTTAAACATTTGCGTCTTCATGACTGTATGACACCTCGAAATGAAAAGCTCTGGAACAGTAAAGCTCTTCTACATAAATAACATGAGGTCCGTCTCTTGTACACATTGACCAGATCACGATCAAATGAAGTGCCAAACATAAAGTGAGCTTTAAAAAGCTCATCAAATCACGCTCCTCTGAGTCCTTACTGCAAGCAGGTATGGTTGACAGCTCTCTGCGATGCCATCAAGGTGCTCCTTGATGCTGGTTCTTGTCTGTGGCAAAAACAGAATAAAACATTATTAGTCTTAGGTTTCAAAGAAGACAGGGTTCTAATAGATAAGGCAAATTACTTTTCAGGATATCTTAAATGTCACTTGAAATGAAATTGAAGACCAATTTCATAAATGTTTCCTTTACTCTAACCTTACCTTGACAAACTTCACAAGATGTTCACTGGCTTGTCTGGCTGAGAGTTTTCCTGGTCTCTTGTATCCAGGAGGTGACTGTGGCAGGAGGTACACCAGGATCAAAATGGATGACATGTCACTGTCCCATCCTAGAAGAAAAAGTTAAAGAAACATGTTACCAAAACTTCTTATTTGCAACCATGTTAATACTTCCAGAGAAAGCTTACCAAATCTAACTAACAGCAGGAGGAGGTGCACTTATATTGAACCAATTCAAATAAAATTCTGTTACATAAAACACTTTCTTTATAAGTAATTGCAACTTACCATTTTCCACTTCTGTTGTGCCTTCAGCATTGTAAAGGAGGTTCTGAAGGTCATCAGACTGTGTGAGACTGCGGCTTTGTTTGAGGACTTTATGCTTGTAGACAGTGGGCCACTTCTCAGGGAACTTTGCAGAGATGGCTTCCCCAAACATCAACATAAAATCTTGCTCAACCTGGAGAATAGATGAAGTGAAGGTTTTAAAAATCATTTTGTTAAGTTTTCTTATTTAAACTTTGTTGGTTAAACTGAAGTGAAAATAAACATACCAATCCTCCTATGTCCAGGAATCTTGGGAAGTCCAAAAAGATACTAGATGACTTTGCTGGGTCATGAATCATCTTCTGAGAGAGTTGAAAGTCTGTTTCATGTTCCTCATAACAGTCTCTTCATCAGCTGTGTGCTTCATCAGTGATTGCACTGATGAAGCACACAGCTGATGAAGAGACAAGCGATCTGTCAGAAGATAGTCTTCTTCTCTCAAACAGTCTCTCTTATCAGTTGTTGGTCCCCCTAAAAAAAATATATATGTGAGACTCCATGTTAGGATTCATAAATAAGGCTTGGGAACTTATTGTGCAGTTTGGTTGCAGGATGAAATGTGTACAAATATAAATCCATATACCTGTTTGGGTTTGTGACAGTCTGGGGACATTTTTTTGTCCATTAGAAGCTTCCCTCTGTACAAACTTCAGTCTCCAAGCCAAATACCCACTTCCATCTTCTGCATTGTAATAATGCTCCTAAAAGTAGGTGAATGACAAATGTTTTTAAAGTTGTCAAAACAAAGACAACCGTGACAACTTACACAATTTGCATATAAAGCACAACTTGAATTCTGTTTTTTTTTTTTTTTATTTTATCGTTGCTCTACGAGCTGCAACCCTAGGATTCACTAAAATAATACTATGCTAGTAATTTCAAGAGAAGTTACTAGCATAACCTTCTCGCGCTTTTTTCTGGGCGGAATACTGACTCCACATGCTAGCAGAGCTAGCTCCGACAGTACAGCTCAGTCTCTCAGCTTAAAAATAGCGACAGCCTCGACTTGTGAAAATAAAATAATGGACGAAGCATTGGACAGCACTGATGTTTTTTCTGCTTACATTGCTGTAAACTGCTAAATTAAGATAGCTGAAGTACACATGCTAACTAGTTAGCCAACCATGTTAATTCCTCGCTGCATCCCTCCTTCCCCCACAACCATACAGCAGCACCTTATCACACCTTTAGTCTTATATATATATATATATATATATATATTATATATATATATATATATATATATATATATATAAATCCCACGTAAAATATATCTAAAACCCGTTTGGGGACTTACCTGGCACATAGCTAACCTTCGCCTCCGTTTCCACTGCGGGATGACAAGATGGCGGAAGAAACGAAACTTAAGGAACTTCAGTGGGCGTGGTCTTGTTTTACTCCGATATAATTTCCTCTATTTTTTTACTCCGATTCTATTGACCAACTGAAATGATTTCACTCTCTAATGTATAAATTTGACTCTTTTTGATGAAAATAATGTTAACTCCGAAAAAATTACTCTCCTATTTTTCCTGTGTACTGATGGCTATGAGACAAGTGAAAGGGTAATTATCCTTCCCTGTGGCTTTACATTAGTTCCAGCCTTTGCTTCCTATAAGAGATTCCCACAGCGCCCAAGGCAGTAAAGACTACAGCTTGTTAAAAGACGTCTCCCACTGACAAAGACACCCACACAGCCTAATGAGCCACAGCATCCATGGTGTCATTTTCATCTGCTTCAGTCTCGCATGTCAGTGCCAAATCAGAAACCAAACTGGCAACCAGCATCAACAAGAGGATGGATGGCGTGGCTTTGGGTGAAGAGCACTTGGAGCATCGCATGTGTGTCATTGAGAGAAATGCTGTTTTCATCTGCACGTGCTGCGTGACGTCAGAACAGATTCAAGGCTAAAAATAGATCCGCACTGCTGGGGTCTTTAAGCTCGAATGCACTGCATCGAATAGACAATCAGGAACCAGTCTGAATAGACTTGTGGCAGACGCACAAGTGCTTTAATCCTGGTTTGCGTGTATCGGAGCTGAGAGGAAGGAGGGAATCTTTATCGCACTGAGCAAAGGTGGCTGGGTATTTGAAGGCTGGACACAAATACCACAGAGGGGATGCTAACTGAGTGTGACATGCCACAGGAAATGTAAACATTTATCTGTCAGCTCAAATAGAAGCAGCCCATGTTAGTCATCACACCACCAGCGCTGTCCTTTTCAGCCAGCTCGACGGTTCGCAGTTTCTTGTGAAATTGTCCTTTTAAAGGTACACAGAGATCTTTGAATGGCTGCCGATGCGGGGAGTTGTTTTGTGCCAGTGCTTCTTGACCTACTGAGAAAACAGTTGGGGTGTTTTTGTCTTAGTCTGAAAACTAATCAGTTTTGTCAGACATTAGTCTTAGATTTATCTTTTATACATGTTCTTTTTGTTTGCCCTTCTATAATCCCCTACGTCTTTAAGTGTCGTTTTGTAATTTCGACTTTTATGATCTCCTCATATCTCATTTAGTGACCACGTCTATGAAAACTGTCTCATAAAAACACGAGCCTTTAATTTATTTACACAGTTTTTATGATCAATTGTTCTGAACAGTGATTTAATCAACACTATTATTTCTCTTACAATAGTGTTCATGAGAGATTTTATACTTGAATTTATTTTTATTGGATGACAATTTGTTTGATGACATGTGATGTTTGGTTTCCTGAGAACAAGAGGCTCTAACACCCGACCGGGCAAAAAAAGAAACTAGAGAATCAAAATCAGAACAGGAAACTGCATGCTCGTGGTTAAAACAGAAATAGAGTTGATCTGATAAACCCTAATTGACAATCAGATTATTATTATTTTTTTTTGTCAATCTGTACAATGTTTCTACTCTCTTTTTCACTCTGGCAACATGCTAACACCAACACACTCTGCAAGTCCCGCATATGTGAGAAATTTGTACTTTATCGCTTTGGTCACCTCTGCACCTGCTGTGCTTGAGGTTGAAACCAAAACGACTCACAAATAAAGAAATGCACTGAGCGGTCTGGGTCCCGATTAAACACTCCTCAAATCTGAAAGAGCAAATTCTCTCAGCATGATGGAAAAAAAAAATATACTGAAACATTTCATTAGCTTCACTGATGGACATTGAAAAGCTACGGATTTAGTGCCAAATGTATTGTATTTCATTGTTTTGTTTTTTTTGTGCAGCACATAATCACAATAATTATTTTTAATGTTTCGAAAAATTAAAATATGCAGATTGACATTTTTTGCAATCATTTTAGGGCAACATTTTCACAGATTGAAAGAAGATTTAATTTTTTTGTAAATGGGAACTCAAACATCCAGCAACATTTGCATTCAGATATCGGTTGAACATAACCAAACAGAGCAACCATTTTTGAAGACAGATGAACTGCAAGCACAACATCAACATTTAGCGTAGAAACATTTAGCAGAATAGGACTAAAAAAAATAAGGAATATTAAACATTTTATCATTTTTCAACTACAACACTCCATTACTTATTTTCATGTATTTAACAAAGTAGATGTATTGATTTGTTCAGTAAGAAAATAATTTGTTAAATTGAAGGTTGTTTGATATTGAAGTGGCCAAACGTGATAAAAAGTGTTGAGCTCAGAGCCAACTCTGCTGTTATGGCCCACTTGGCACAGCGTTAGCTTCCTGCTCCCAATGAGCAACCTTATGTGCCACAGCCTTTCCTTCATCGGCTGCAGTTTTCTCTGAGCACACAGCATACATCACTGAAAGCTGGGTTGTTATTTGGGGTGTCGACTCTGGTCTTTGCGTGAATGATAACCCATAAAGTACAGTTATAATAAGTATCTGATTTTGGAGTGGTAGTAATAGTAAAAAGATTTGAGTCCTTTTGTTTTATTTGTTTTATTTAAACTTCTGTATTTTTAGTTGCTTTCGAGCTTTCCAAATGCTGAGCGCTAGTGGTATAGATCTCTCTTTATGTTCATCTTTGTGAACTGCATCATGGTGCATACTGAGTCTAGAAATCCTGGCCTGCAGTCGTTTTAGCTTGTTTAATAAAGTAAGGCGTCAGAACTGATCTTCAGTCTGTATGGAGATGTAAACAAAGCTCCTGACCGTCATCTCACCAGCAACACCAAACTTCAAAATCCAAATTCTTTATTGTTTTTTGCTCTCTTTTTTGCCACTCTGTAATGTTTCACATCATCTAATTTTATTCTCTGAAAAAGATCATCTGACTAAAGCAGTTGTTGAATGAGGATTTCATTTATTCAGGGGAGAAAAGCTATGGGAAAGCTTCATTAGCTCCTAAAGGTTATTGACTCTTGGCAGCAGCATTAAGTGACTTTAACATTCCCGTTTAGGGATTGTTTTTGGTCTTTGCAGAATTGTTTTCTTTTAATCACATCAGAAGGTTATCAAGCAACGTGAATTTAGATGCAAACTTTGACAAAGCCATTCCTCAACCTTACTGCTCACTTGGACTCGCTTTTCTATGAGAAATATGTCTCTTACTGGGGTTTCTTTACTGGATAGGTAGATTGATAGATGATCATATTTCCAGTATTCTGCAGGTTAGTTTGGATTTTCTTTTTTCCTTAAGAAATTATATTGTTGTTCTGGTATTTATTCTTCTTTGTTTGGTCATCTGAAGCATTCAAATGTAATAAGAAAAAAAATCCAGAAGGAATCATTTCTCTGCATTCATAAGGGGCAAATGTAGATTCAGCCTGCTGCAGTGTGTGCAGTTTCATAGCCTGCAGCTGGGTGAAAGTCTCACTTTTCACAGCGAGATTCATCTCACTGCATACGTTATCACCCTCGAAACCCAAGAACTAATTTTGTTCAACTTAGAAAAAGGCATCATGCTGATTACGACACAGCTGGATTTGATGGTGTGGTTTTGTGGCACTCCTAATGACACGAATCGACAGCAGGAGTTGTTTTTGTTCCTCAGCTGAATGTTCTCGTCAAAAAAAGACAGTGTTTGCTCTAATTCGATTTTCTCTTTGTCTTCCAGATTTATCACAATCAAGCGCCTGAAAATAAAAGGGAGAGCAACAAAGAAACAGCAGCTGTGCACAACGTGACAGGCCAGTTTTAACCTCTGCTCTTCAAGCTAAAACCCGTCGTTTGCCCAGACGCCAGCCCGCCATGTCTGGGAAGGAGCGCAGCCCCCGCCACCGGCCGTGGTCGGTCTACCGGGCCAACACCTTTGATCTCTCGGCGGAGATGATGGGGCTAGCGCTCTCAGGTAGCTAAGTAACTGGTGCCATGGCAACCAGCATCAGAAAGGAGATTTATCTCATGTTTGTCTCATTTCTCTACTTCGCAGGCAGCAGTCAAGATCCAGACGAGCCAGTTCTGGAGTTCAGTGTGGGTATGTTCAGAAAAATATGACTTCAGCATTTTAAGTCCGACAGTCCTACTCAAGTAAAACTTGGATTTTGTGCCACAAATATTTATATTATTAATAAATTCATTTAAATCTGTAAATTTTTGCCATCCTTCAGTTGTGAAAAGAGTTAAAATAGTCTGCAGTGAAAATGATGTGTAAGTTTAATCATGTTGGAAAAGGCCTCCGTTGAAGATGATAATTAATTTTTTTTCAATGAGATTTATCCCGTATGAAACATGGGAGCCGGTCAAATACATAAATTCATAAGGCAGTAAGACGTCCAGAGCAAGATGGAAGAAGATTTAGTGCAAAGAACGAGAAAAATATCAAAATAAATGCAAATCCAAATCGTAGTATAAAAGCCGTAGAGCATGTAAAACATAAAAATATTCTAAAGAATATAGAAGTGAGAAAGTCACACAAAAGGCACAAAATAACAGTTTTAAAATGGATCTCTTCCCTAAACTAGCAGCTAGATGAATTCAGTGAATCGTGCCTGTGATTGTGTGCCAGTTTTGAAGGCCAGTAGGAAACGGTCTTGTTGCTGCTCAGAGTAAAAAAGTATTAGACAACATCTGCTTATAAAGCACTAACAACTCTGAAGTTCTATGGTTGCAGGGATTATATGCCGCCCAACCATCTAAATCCCACTTTTAGTAATCTGATGCGTTGCCATGTTGCTGCAGCCTGCAGTGAGCTGGTCACGCCCTCTCTGGACCGCAAGCCGACCAGCTTTGTGGCCGTCAGCTGCACCACTCCGCCGCAGGCCTTCTGGACTAAACACGCCCAAACTGAAATCATCGAGGTAAAAGGAAGCAGTTCGCTCTGACTTCCTGGGAGCTCTGTGGGGCTTTTACCACCTCCTCATCTCTCTCGCCGTCACCGTCTCCCCTCAGGGCACCAGTAATCCCATCTACCTGAGCAGCATAGCGTTCTTTCAAGACTCGCTCATCACCCAGCAGACTCAGGTCAAACTCTCCGTCTATGACGTAAAGGACCGATCACAAGGCACGGTAATGTCTCAAAAACACAACAAATGCACTGAACTGTAAATCCTTCATGGTCTACTTTTATCTGCATTAAACCCTTTAAATCCTCTGACTTTATGCTCTCCCACAACAGATGTACATGCTTGGGTCATCCATGTTTTCTGTAAAGGAGCTGCTGCAGGACAAACACCACAGACTGCACTTGACTCTAAGGTGACAGAAAGGAAAATCACAACATGGATGCAAAACTGCTCACTTACACCAAAGCTATGGTCGGATCTGATATGATGTCATGGTGTGTGTCTGTGTGTGTGTGTCAGGTCAGCAGAGAATGAACGTGTGGGCAACATCACAGTCATCGCCTGGCAAATAGAGGAGAAGCGTGAACAGAGAGCACCGGTTGCACGATTACAGCGGGGGGATACAGTCAATGGAAGGGTAAAATCGTCTTCTTAAAACTCTCCTCACTTTCTCTGTTTTTGATTTAAGTGATTAAAAATGAAGCTGATTAATCTAATTTTCTGTTTCAAGCAACGTGCTGAACTCGTCTTTAAGACAAATGCTATTTTTGTCGTTGTTTCAAGGTTTAAATGACAGCTGAAACCAGATATTCACACACGCCAAAGAAAGACACAAACACATTCGTTTTCTCACTTGGTGAAGTTAAATTAGGATTACCAAAATTATTTATATATGTCAAATGCTAGAAAACTTGTCAAAAGACTTTTTGAAAAGTTTTTTTTTTTTTGTTATTATTTTATTTTGTTTGAATTCAAAAGTTTGCATACATTTGGTCAGTATCAGGGATAACTCTTTTAAAATGTATTGGGTCAAAGCCAGAACAAGAAACGCTTTGTCTGTTTTACCTTCAAACTGTGAGAAAGAAAACTTTTTTTTTCCTTTTCCATTCAGCATGTGTAAGTATCTGGTTTGAAATGTACCTCTCTAGAAATTTATTGGAAAAACCATTGACTCACTTCCATTTCTGTGGAGTCATAATCATCATGTTTGAGTTTATAATTAAGGAATAAATTTGCATATTAACATATGAAGGTCAGAGGCTTTTGTTCAAGTGTGCCTGTTTTTGCTGTTTCAGATGGTTCTCCCAGTCGATGAAAGCCTGACCGGATCCGCGGCTATTAAATCCAAGTGTTCGTCTTTATGTAAAGATCCGATGCTAAAGGCAGGTGGGTGTGTTTAAATGCGCTCTAGTCACAGGTCCATGCAAACTGTTCACCATCCTTGAACTTTTTAATACTTTGTCAAAACAGAACCGCTAGCTTCAGTGTTTTTAGTGGGGATTGCATGTGATACTTTTGGAGACAGAGGAAAGTAAGCAATCTGCATGCCTGAATTTGCATTCAGACCCTGAAACATTACTTTACAAAATCATATTTTTCTTCAAATACAGCTGTAAGTAATTTTGGGATATTGGCTTTTCACATCTAGAGACATCTTTGCTCATGCTTTATAATAAAAGAATTAAAGGTCTCTCCTCAACTCTACGACCCAAACCAATTTGCATGTCCGTTTTACTAATGGTTTTCCCACCAAACTGAGAGGGTTCATAGAACAGCTGGAGAAATCACAACAACCCCAATAAAATAGATCAGCATTTGTGGTTGTATGATGAGAACTGAGAAAAAAATGTCATGCACTGTTTTATGGTAACTTCATGAGGTCTCGTATCTACTCCTGTGTGTTTTAAGTTTTTGGAGGCGTGATGTCTCGGACGTATCGTTTCCCAACCACGGATGGAAACCACCTTCGCGTGCTGGAGCAGATGGCAGAAAGCGTCCTCTCCCTGCATATTCCTCGACAGTTCGTCAAACTGCTCCTGGAGGAGGACGCTGTGAGGTAGCTTTGAGGAACTAGAGTATGAACTTAAAAGAGACTCAGACGCTTTCTTGCAGTCGTCATTTGTGTTTAGAGACAGTTTGATGTGCACAGCACACTGTGAATCTTGGAGTCATTTATTTATTTATTTTTGTTCTTTTGTTGTCCTGCAACCGCTGACAAATTCACTCACCATCTGTTTAGTGTCTGACACAGCAGCAGCAAACACAGCTTTTCAATTATTCTCTGACTTCGCCGAACGTCTTGACTGTGACAGCGTGTGTGTTCGATTCGCAGGGTGTGTGAGCTGGAGGAGCTGGGCGAGCTCGCTCCATGTCGGGAGAATCTCAGGAGGCAGATCATCACTCAGTATCAGACCATCATCCTCACATACCAGGAGACCATAAGTGACCTGCATGAATACAAAGGTCAGACACAGAAGCACACTTCTCTGCATGACAGGCACTACACACTACGATTAAATATTAAACTGGGGCTAGGTTGTAGATGAGTGTGAAATAAATAAAAAAATTCAATCTGCATTAAACATCCTGCATTTTATCTCCCAAAACTCTCACTCCTTTACTATGACTTGTTTGCTGTCAGATGATTCTAATTAGAAAGTTTTAATAAACAGGTTGACATCTCAGATCTTCTGTCTCCAAACACTGGTGTTTTTTTTTTTTTTTTGATTTTATGATTTTATTTAGTAATCAGGATATCGTGACTATCTGCAACTATGGAGGTCAAGTGTTCAGAGGTCAGCAAATCAAAGTGACTGAATATTAGACTAATCATATTCTGTTTTGTTGTACAGAAATATTGAACAAGTTCAAGCTTTTTCCAGCTCCCTGTTGAAAATGAGATCCAGATCTCAGTGGAGTTTACCTGGTTAAATAAAGGACATAAAAATAATCTGAAATAGAAAATTATTTCTGTTTTGAGCCCTTTGACAAAGAACCCACACAGAAATGTAAAAAATACATAGTTTATTTTTTTAAGAGTATTTGACATACTTTACATGTGATCTTTTATGAAGTGAGTAAAATATTGGCGTATTTAACTTTGTGAAGAAAATATGAATGACCTGTCTCTTTTTTACTGCTGTTATCTCCCAGGACCTTCGTTTAAGCCCAGCACCTTAAAAGCTGAGAGGAAGTTGGAATTCATTCCCACCAACCTGCACGTCCAGAGGATGAGAGTGCAAGGAGAGGCAGGTTACGGTACGTCGCTGTGCATTGTTCTCCTAAACAGGCCTGGGACTAATGATAATATACACGATTCAGCACCGTCACTTTACAGCTGGTGTTTGTTGTGTCTTTCCCACCAGATTGGACGTATGACGTCGTGACCATAGGGGCTCCTGCAGCACATCATCAGGGTTTTAAAGGCTGCGGCCTCAGAAAACTGCTGCACAAGCTCGAAGAAGCCAGGAAACAGTGAGTGGAATCAAAACCAAGTCGCTCAGCAGCTCTGCTCTTTGCGCTCATTCATGAACATTTTCTGTGTGATTTTCTGTCCTTTATTCAATCAGCACTTATGAGGAAGAAAGGTAAGGGCTAGAGTAAAGGGTTATATGAAGCCATTTTCTATTTTTTAATGTTTTTTTATCATTTTCCCACTCTGCTCACTCTGTTTGCTCAGTCTGTTTACTCTCTCTGTCCTCTTTTTGCCGTTATGCGGACCATCTGACAGCTCTGCTGGCTTCGGTTCAAAAGGGATGACCTACCAGCCTCAGGATGTCGTTAAAGCGAAGGAGCTGATTGCTCAAATTAACACTCTGAAAACGCAGGTGTGTTACTACACCGAACGTCTGTCCAGAGCCGCCAAGGAACGCTCAGTCAACGCTCTAGAGAGAACTCTGACCATCCTCATGGAGAAGGTGAAACATTGCTCAGAGAAACGGGAAGGTTGTCATTTTCATTACAGCATTCACAAATGCATTTGACTCAAATTTTATGTGATGGAAAAAGGGAGCGCATAATTGTGGTTGGAAAGGGAAATGGTATGCAATTGCCAAAAATCTTGCAAAAATGTTCTACTTGGGAAAAAGAAACTACCAGGTTATGGATGAAAACCTTGAGTTTTTGAGAAGGTGACCTGAACCAAAGCATTTTTTCCAACGATAATAATGTAACTCGCTTTGCAATGAACGTAATTACTCACCTGATACAATTTCAAGCTCAATTTAAACATTATTGATACTGGAGGAAAAGCAGCTGACGTCCAAGTGACATCCAATCAGCCCAAACTCAGTACATCGCAGAAACGCAAGTTGAGGTGATTTCCCCAACAGATGCCATGCTGCATTCAGGCACAGCTGGGACACTAGGTTTTTCAAAAATATCAAAACAACTCTAAAATGATTAAAGCATATTGTCTTCTCAAATGTGGGTTCAGTCTGATTCAAAAGTTTACCAAAACCAACACTGATCATTTTTAAGCGGCTGTTTTGCTGTATGTTCTGTCTGTTCAGGCTCTCCATACGTCTGCTTATAGCATTTTATCAGAGAAAAAAACCCAAACAAAACTCCATGCAGCCACTTCTATGCTTTCCACTTTTTTTGAACTTTTAGAACATAATAAAATCAAATTGACTTCAGAAATAAATTTAAAAAATAGATTCTTTGTGTACCGCTGATGGAAGTAAAAACAAGAATTATACATTTGTATTCATTTTTCTTATCGGAAACGTACCAAAAACATTCCAAACTGTGACATGCACCTCATCCTGATTATTTTGTAACCCTACTAAACACACAAGCAGTGCTGCAGAGTAGTTGCTTAGATAAAAAAAAGTATGTAGGGGTTTGCACAAAGCCCAGATCTTAATGTAGCTGAGAGCAAAGAAAAGACGAAATCTTTCTCTCTAGATCTGCAAAGCTGACAGAAGTTGGTTCTACAAACTATTGAACAAGAGGAGCTGAGTGCCATGCTCAAGGATTTTTATTTAGAAATCCTGTCTTATCTCTTTAAAATAAAAAGTACATTGTTCGCAACTGATTTTAAAGTTCAAATTCTCATAAAATATTTCTTTATAGCAACTTTCTTTCTTTAGTATCTCTTCCTCTCCTGTTGCAGACCCGTCAGTTGGTGACAGTGTGCGACTCCAAGCTGCTATCATCAGCCATCGTTGCCCTTGCCGCTGCCCGCCCACAATTTTCGCAGCAAAGCACCCCATCCCCTTCCTCCTCTTCCCTTTCACCTTCTTCTCGCTCTCCATCCCGTTCCCCCTCTCGCCATCCCACCTCACCTTCCCGCCCAGCCACTTCTCCGTCGAGACCTGCAGCTCCTCCAGAGGGCAGCGAAGGGAGCAAAAGCAAGCGCACCTCGACACACTCTGACTGTCATGAGGAAGAGTGGGTGAGTGGAGATAAACCTCCCTACTTTTTTTTCTGTTTAAATTAGGATTTGCCTGTTTTGTTTGGTTTTCACCCATGATGTGTGATTATGTGCAGGAGAAGGTTTGGTTAAATGTCGATAAAAGCTTAGAGTGTGTGATCCAGACGGTGGACCGGCTGCTGCAGAGAGACAAACTCCAGAGCGACAGCAGCTCTGAGGACGTCTTTCTGCTCGCTGACGAAGTGCCGAGTGGCACTAAGAAAGGTAAGTCAGTGAATCTGCCCTGTGTCCTGATTCCTGCACCATGTGGAAGAAAAACAGGCTAAAGTTTTGCTTCAGGGAAAGCCTTCTGAAATAAACAATTATTTAGCTCCACATGCTTCAGCAGCAACTCTTTTACTTTTGTAGAAACCAGTCCAGAAGTTGAAAAGAAGTCTCCAGGTGAGTATTTTTTTTTTTTGTTTTTTTGTTTTGTTTTGGGGTTTAATTTTGTTTTGGTTTTGCTTTTGTTTTTTTTTTTTTGACAAGTTTATATTTTGCATTATATTTTCACTGCAAAATACACAAAATCTTTCCTAGTATTTTTGGTCCAGTTTCTAGTGCAAATATCCAAGCAGTCTAGAAATAAGACAAAACTAACTGCTCCTATTTCTTGCTATTTTTCAAGCTGGAAATATGAGTTTATTTTGATTTAATAATTCCTTAATTTTGATAAAAACAATTGACAGATTTTTTTTCTTGTAACATGGGAAAATTGTCTTGTTGCAAGTGCCAATAGAACAAGCACTTTTACATCATATTACCCCTTTAATGCATTAATTATGATTCTCTATGTAAGAATTATTTTTCCATAGTGTTTGTAATTTTTTAAGGCATAAAAAGGTGCAAAAAAAACTTTTGTTCTACTTTCTATTCTCCAAATAGAAAGTAGTAGTAGTAGTCTTTAGGGGCCACTTGATGTCAGAATACATTTTTTACCTACATTTTGTGTTTTTGCAGTGTTTAAATTGGGCTCTCATGACAACACAGGGTTCTTTTCTCCTGTTTGCGTCTTTCAGGCGAATGGAACGAAGTGCTGTATCCCCTCCTCACCACGCTGACAGAATGTGTGTCTCTGATGAGCGACAAAGCAAAGAAAGCCTTGGTGTTTCTGCTGATGCAGGACAGCGCCCCCACTATCGCCATGAGCCTGTCTATGCAGTATCGTCGCGACGTTGTTTTCTGCCAGACGGTCTGTCGGCTCCTGCAGCCAATCCCACACGCACTCAGGTGCAATGGGAACCTGACTGACGGTGTTTGTTTGTTTGCAGCTGACGGCGCTGATCTGCGGCTTCGTTCTCAAGCTGAGGAACTGTCTCTGCGACTCGGGTTTCCTGCGGCAGCTGCACACCATCGGCCTGTTGGTCCAGTATGAGAGTCTGCTCAGCACCTACGGTAACTGCACACAAAACACGTCACGTCAAAACACACAAGTCGTCCGAGTGATGTCATAAATGCCCTGTGTCACTTTCCGTTTCTCAAAGGGGAGGAGTTGGCCATGCTGGAGGACATGAGTGTTGGTGTGATGGACCTGAGGAACGTCACCTTTAAGGTTACCCAGGCTACCTCTGGTTTCAGCCCTGACATGCTGCCGGTGATCACGGGGAACAGGACTGGATTTAACGTCAGGGTTCCCATGCCTGGCGTGATGTTCGACACGTTGCCAAGAGAGATCCAGAACGGGATGCTGCTTCGGGTGCAACCCATCCTGTTCAACGTGGGGATCAACGAGCAGCAGACGCTGGCTGAGAAGTGAGTCACTGACACGAATAAATGCCTTTAATGGGTTTATTATTGAGAATCCTGAAAGAGCCAAAATCTGGTGACATGTTAGAACAAAAATATTGCCAACATGTCACCAATCCAACATGCTTCATGTCATTTTCTTGGTCTCTGGCATCCTGAATGAAGAAAAAGTCTGCATTATCTCAAAGAGTGACTGCTAAAAATCTATGGAAATACAAAGCTATTTGTCACTTTTCTTCTCTCAGTAACAACATTTACACTAAACATCTATCTTATTGTTATGTCACTCTGGTAGCTTTTACATCTGGTGTGTTCACTAACCATGAAAAAGATCAGATTTTTCATCTTCCGACTGGTTTGTGCTGATTTCTGCGCCTCTAAACAAAGTAGTTGTTCAGATGTTAAGTCTTAGTCAATGAAAGCATGGAGAGAAAAATTACACATTTATGTTTTTCTGTTGCTTCAAACAACTTTCAGAAAATCTGACAGCAGTATTTAAAACTTAAAATGTTTATTGTAAAGGAAGTGAAAAATAAAACATGAGAGCTTGTAGAACAGCAGAATAATTAATAATTTGTATCGTTGCAGATTTGGAGGCACGTCGCTCCAAGATGCCATCAATATGGAGAACATGACTCGCCTCAGTTCATATTATGACCAGTTCAAAGAAGTCCTTCCAGAAGACTGTGAGTCAAACACATGTAATCATTTTTATTATTATTATTTTTGTCAGCAGATTTCTTATTCCTCTTATATCTCTTCAGGTCTCCCTCGGACCCGCAGCACCACCACTCTGCCTGACATCCTCAAGCTGCTGAGTCAGAATGTGAACGCCAAGAAAAGCAAGAACGTAGAAATCCTGTGGCAGGCTGCCGAGGTGGACTTCCTCTTCCTCCTCTTCATCTTTTGGTTTTTCTCTAAATGTTGTCACAAAATTAACAACTAAACGAATAAAACTTTTCGAGTCACATCTGCTTCTTCGCACCCCAAAGGCATGTCGCCGCCTGAACGGTGTCCGCTTCACCAGCTGTAAAAGCGCCAAGGACCGCACAGCCATGTCCCTGACCCTGGAGCAATGTCAGATCTTGCAGCAGGAGCACGCCATGGCGCCGCAGGTCTTCTACCAGGCCTTGGATTGCATGCGCAGGTCGGTCCCGCCTCCTCTCACTTGCTTATATCTTGGTTATTATTTGCCAAATAGCTAAAAATGATTTCCGTGTGTCCACAGCGAGGGCTGCAGGAGGGAGAACACCATGAAAAATGTGGGATGTCGAAAATATGCCTTTAACTCTCTTCAGCTCAAGGCCTTCCCCAAACAGTACCGCCCCCCAGAAGGGACATACGGGAAAGTTGAGACCTAAATGGATCGATATTTGATGGAACCAAAAAAACAAACTGATATTAAAGACTGAAAAAATTATACGTATATATGTTTAAAAAAAGACAGCATTATCAAACAAAATTGACACAGCAGCCCGTGGTTTTGTGTTTAGTCCGTGTTAGGATAATCAGTGTCCAAGTGCCGGTTCTGTTAGACTGTTTTCAAAATGTTTCCTCCCCTCATCTTAGCTTTGCTACTAGAATCACAATTCACAGCTAACGTGAGGCTTTGTGTGTCACATCTAAGGCTGTGTCATGGCTGCACCAGCTGTAGCATCTGGAGGTTTGCAGCCATACTGGATCATTAATATTCTCATTTCTGTCTGATAAATCACATAAAATGTTTATATGAGAGACAAACTACAGTACAAGAAAAAAACTACAAACCACCTCATGGATTTCTTTTTGGGTTTTTTTGTTGTTTTTTTATATATTATTATTTCTGTGTCTCATTTAAATGTTTCAGAAAAACAATCCCAAATAACATGGCTCTGTGTAATCACCCCATTGTTAAATTATGAATTAACTGGGTTTTTTGCTTCACTTGGCAAAGCCAGACCAGATTCCTGCCTGACCTGTAGAATATAGAATAATCTATTGGACAACACAAAGTTGGCTGAAATATCTCAGAAGTAACAGAGTAGAAAGAAAACTGAGAGCAGATGAGAACTTTCATCTATTGCCAAGGAAATGGCTGCATAATCATTTCTAATGTTTTGGGACACAGTAAGCCATAATGTGAATCATTATCAACAGAAAAAATGTGTAACAACGGAGAACCGCCATGCACTGGCACCCCCACCAGACAAAGGGTTTTGAATGGTCTAGTCCAAGGCCAGACTTGAATCAGACTTCATACGGGTCCTTAAATGTGTCAGAATTACAACAGTTCTGCAAAAAAGATCAGGCCGATTTTTTTCCTCGAAGATGTAAAGCTTCATTAGTACTCAATAAAAACTTTATTGAGGACAACAAATACAGTTATTACACTTATTAGGTTTACAAAGTTTTATCGTAATAATTGACTTTGTTTTCTTTAATTGATTAGTAATATAAAATATTTTTTTCAAAACTGCAGTTTTTAATTTGTCTGATATCAAAATCTCTTTGAAAACAATTAATTTTCATAATAATAAAAGCAGAATAAATCTGTTAGGGGTAAATACTTTTTCACTGTATGGCACCAGTTTGTCTTTGTCAACACTGTTATTATTGGATGTCATGTAAATAACTGGTATAACACACAAACTTTGTGTTCTTCTTTGCTTTCAACAAGCATCAACAAAAGCCTTATTATATTGGTTATTTAACTTTGTCACAGAACCTACTGACTTGATTCTCTATAAGTTAAAACTTGTGTCTCTGAGCACAGCTGAGTTATTTTAGAGAGGAATTCCAAAACTGCATAAAGTTAATAGAGACATTTTTTAATAATTATATTTGGAAGCTTCAAAAATAAACTCAACTAAAGAACTCGAGGCAAATGTTTGGACATCCTGAAAGGTCATGATAATTTTTCTTCTCTATGCAAGCAAGCAAGTCTTAATATTTGCTTAAACTGTGTAAACTGTTCATCATTTGCCTTCTGCACTACTATTTGAAAGTGTTTTCTACATTTAGAAAACACTTTCAGGTTTTAAAGTTGCAGTATGAAAACCTTCTGTGGCTCTTTTTAATTGCTGAATTATTGATTCAGACTTGTGTTTTGTTGGAACTGCCATGTTTTCATCTATATGTTGAAGCTATAGCACTTCCTTTATGAGTAAAAAGCTGCCCAGCCAATTGCACGGCATCAATTGAATTAATTTGAACATCTGGATGTGGTCAAAATAACTTGCTGAGTATCAGAATTGTTCCAGTCCAGAAGGCATTTCTATATGGGGAACTGAAAAATTGATAAGCCGCTTGTGGCCTTTTGTAGCTTTCATTTTTTTTGTATGAGAGGGGAAAAATAAAATTACAAAGAGTTGACGTATTTGTTAAGATTCGTGATTGGAATCACCTCCCGTCCAAACAGTATGGGACATATATATTGGCATATTGCTGTATGTTGGTCAGTACTTGAAATGCGTTGAAAATTGAAGTGTTTTATCCAGAAGGCCCAGTTTAAATTAACTAAGGCAAGTCTTCCATTGATCACAATCACATTTAGTTTTCTTCATGCAGGCATTTTTAAAATAAATTTTCAGTCAAATTGTAGTTTTTTTTAGGCAAATAGCAACACCTTTGCAGTAAAATTTTGCTTCGAAAGTGAGTTTTCCTGATTAAGTCTGATTAAGAGCTACATGCTAATTAAAGTCCAAACATTTTCTAAAACTGATCCGACATCTTAGAAATGTGATATGCTGTTTGGTTTTATTTTAATTTTTATTCTCATTATTTCTCTTTAACTTTGTGCTTTTGGAGTTTGTCTTTTACTTGGTTCCAGCTGGCAAGAATTTGACTGGTGGTGCACTAACTGTATATTATGTACAAACTACAGCATTAATCCACATCTTAATAAATCTTAATACATATTCCTAACATTTTTGAAGAAAATACTATCTCTGTGCACCTTCACAGAGTACAGGTGCAGAAAAGATGGAAATTAGAAAATAAACATTCTGTTTTTGATCATTTTGTGCTATTTGCTCAAGTCAATAGAAATTAAAAGTCACACCAGCAAAACTTGACTAGTAGACTGGATTCATAGCAAATGAATCCAGTGTAGTGAAACTTTGCTCAACACTGAGTCAGATCAGATAAGACACTGTAATTCAGAGATGCTGAGATGTTCCACTGCGTTGTTAGTTTATGTCCATCACTGGCAGCATTGCAGATGATCTGTTTCAGTACCAGCTCAGAAACCTTCCTCTGGACCTCGGCTGCACTGCGGGATGACAGCTGCTGAAGAATTTATTGGCTTTATGTTACTCCTCATTTCTCAAATACAACTTTTCATCACTTTTGACAATAAGCACACAAATATTCTGGGGGCCTTTCATACATTTTCTTTCATGAAATTGTTAAATTTACAAATTATAATGTCTCAATTATAAGTTAATGGATGCTAAGCTTTTGGATTCTACTTGCATGATGATTAAGTAAACTTCAGCTTAAATGTGCTGCAGTTGTTTTGCCTTTCAGATTTTCTATAAATCTGGAAACACTACTAGCCTGAGTTACAACAAACACCAGTAGCAGTTTCGTTTATCAGCTCTGGCCTTCAGTATGTTGTATGTTTTTCTGAGTAATGGATCATATTTTCAGATATTTTATCTCCTTTAAGAGTATGTTCTCCTGTTACTGACCAAAATATGACTTTATTTTAATAGATGGCCACAGCAGTGGCACAGTGCTCTACCCACTGAGAATGGATTAAAACTGAATAATGAATAAAGGACTGTTGAAACCAGCCGAGAGTCAGTGTCTCAGATTAAATCCTTTGAAAAAAAAATTTTTTTTTTTGTGTTTCCAAATTTAAGAGTGCAAAGTGTTGGTGTGCAATGACTCATCCAGTACGTCAAGTAAAATCTATTCATTAAATTATTACTAAATGCTCTGAAATAAATTTGGATTCAATTCTACGAACAAAAAGGAAATGTGTTCTAAATTATATTTGAACATACAAATTATTGTTTTGAGTCCTTCTGATGTGAAGAAGCAGGTTACAGTAACTTTAGGTGAACTCACAGCAAAAGCCCTACTATGAAATTGCAAGCCCAGCCATACAACTTCTCTTCATACCCCTTAAACTTTTTCACATTTTCTCACATTATTATCACCAACATAAAGCGGCGCAGGCTTGTAAAGCACAACATCTCAGCTCTGAACATCTCTTAGTGGATTGATTAGTCTATCATCCAAGACTGTAGTTGGGCAAAGTAAAAACCCAAGAACAGCATAGCAGTCAAATAATTATTGACTGATGTCCATGATTATTTGCACAGAAAGTGGAGATGGGAGATATTAATTCAACACTATGTATCATTTGTGGTTCATTTGATCTGTTTTCAGTAAATCAATATAAAGAGAAACTAGACAGTGTTGAACTGAATCACTGACAAATCTGCATTTACTCTCTTACCAGCAAAGCTCCATAATAATGCTAAACACAGAATGATTATTAGTGGACCACTATGTCCTACCTTCACTTTCAGTGTATTGTTAGACTCTTCAATGGAAATGTTACAACTGTCATAAAATTGTATTTCCTAATATAATAACTTAAAAAATGGAGTTGTTTTAAGACAATAAAAGTCTCCTTTGGTTATGGCCCCTTTCAATTATCTTCAACATCCAGAACCAGCACTCTGGATTGATACAAAATGAAAACACCAAAAAAGACATTTACAGAAAGAGAAATATTAATTACTTTTAACAGAATGAAATTACAAACATTAAATAAACTATCTCTGAAAGTGAACAAAATGTGCAATACCGGTTATTTCCAGAAGGTGGCAGTGATGCAAACACTGATAATTAAAGGCTGGCGGGAAAGTAGAGGAAGAACAAGAAGGTTGACCCGGAAAAAGAAAAACAGACAACAGGCGACAGCTGTCAAATGCCACTGACTTCATTGTGCTTTAAATGTTACTGAGTAGGTTTTTGCCGCCAGTCGCATCTCGTATTATCAAGACCTCCGTGAAAAGGTGAGACTTCGCTTTGTGGCCTTCAGCTGATAAACGAACAGTGACGTAGAAACAGTTTCACTTTCCTGCCTAGTTTGTTTCCTGGTGATTGAGCCACGTAACGTGCTTAAAGAAAAAAAAAAGAGTTTCCGCTTTTAACATGTCCGTGGTTCTCGGTTAATAAAGATATTTAATGAGGGGTTCCGTAGTTTTTGTTAATCCCATGTAATTCTCGAGTCTAATCTGAACAGGTGTTGTGTCGTTTTTGGTCTCCACCCATTGATTTACTTTACAGCGCGCGAGTTTTTGACGTCAGTGGCGCCAAAAATAAAGTAGAAAAAAAGTATATGTTTAGTCCATTTAGTTTATTTGGAGGGTTTATATTTCATGAAGGAGAACTGTATTCGTCTCGAGCAGAAAATCAGTAGATGGTTGCAAAAGCTGAACAAGAAAAGGAGCAAAGTTGACCAACTGGTATAGAAGTTAATATGCACAGAAAATGTTACTGAACTAAAATGTAGGAACAGATGCAATGAAAGTAAATTACATTCATAAATATAGTCATTTTAAAAAAATCTTCAGCGTTTTAGTTCCTGTTTTTTATGTATGGAATTAAGTAAAACAAATTTGGTGTTTATCTTCTAATCAAAGCTGATGGACATTATCTGACTTGTAATAGTCGGTATGAATTTAAAGTAAGCAGAGGGAAACAGCAAAATGTTGGAAAAGAAACTAAAAAGATAATTTCATAACTCTTTTTGTTGTTCTCCAGCAATTGGGCTCCTCAGCACCTAATTACATGTTAATATCTACTGCTTTTATTCTTTTAAGTCTTTAATGTAAATTGAAAGGAGCTCATAAATTTTGATCATGACAAACTATGCAATCAAAAAGGACAAAGGGAATCGGTTCAGGTTCTTCCATTGAAGTCGTTCCAGTCAAACTATTCCTCTGTACTTATCCTTCTCTTACTGCAGTTTCTCTTTCCATCCTGTGTGGTCGACTTGCTGCAGTGTCCCCACTCAGCAATGGGTAAGTTTGCTCAGGCTTCACTGAACAAACTCTGACTCAATTTACAATCCACTTTTTTTTTTCTTCCTCACACAGGAAAAAATGTCACCCAAGCGTAAAAAGAGGAAAAGGACGCCTCAGATGGATGCAGAGCAGAACAGCCAGGAGAAGATACAGCAAGGTCCTCAAAACTGGATGGAGGAAGGTAAAAGACGTATTCACTGCTTTTATGCTCCACCCCCAGAAGAAAAGATTTGACCATAAGGGTTTGATAGTTTCCTTTTTCTGGTTAGAAGGAAGAAGTTCTGCTTACTCAGTTACTTTTTGGATTAAACGGGATGTGTTCTGTCTGTGAGTTTCAGGGGCCAGGGTGATGAAGAAGCTCCTGGTGGACGTGGACTGCGGCGTGGATGATGCTCAGGCCATCATGCTGGCACTGGCCGCCCCCAATGTGACGATCCTGGGCATCACCTGCGTGCACGGGAACACCACGGTGGAGAACGTGTGCAAGAACGTTCTGCGGGTTCTCCGGGTCTGCAATAAGCTGGAGGTGGGTGCAGAACCAAAACCACAGAGTCCCGAGAGAGAAATCATTATAGTCATTTGAGTAAAGTTAGTGTTTATTTGAGATATTTACATATTCTCTGTAATATTTTTGCTTTTTTTTCTGTTATTAAAAAGCATGGTTAATCTTTGACACATTGGAATAACATATTTTAAAAGTTATTCTACTGTATAAAGGTTTAGGCAGGGGACTGTTTTGTTAAATACCGACCTTTCATTCAGCACATCAGAGCTGAATAAACCAGCTTTTTACCCAAGACAATAACCATCTGAATTAGTTTTTAAATAAAAAGTCTTTATAATGTTTGATATTTGGAGCTAGAGATTGCAATCAGCATCTAAAATGCCACATTTCTGGAATGTCCGTAAAATGTGAGCAGTAATTGTGTTGAAGGACAATAATAAGTCATTGGAATCATGTGAAAAGTCACAATGTTTAAATTTTTCTGCCTAACAATGAGTTCCTCAAGTCACATGATTTAGAAAGAGAAGTGGACAACAAGTTCCTCTAAGTTTACATCTCAGTTTTACACCACTTCCTTCCTTAGCAATTAAAGTTTAAAAGAAAAAGTGTGTTGAAGACCAAACTGAGATTTATTTATGATTAAAGGGTGTTGTGGTCATTGAAGTTTGATGAATTTTGTTCTCGTTTACAACCACAAGTTTTAATGTATTTTATTGGGATTGTGTGGGATAGACAACACAAAGTAACACATAAATGGCCTCATTTGTTCTGATACCCATAAATGAAATATACCACAACTAGCTGCCTTTAGAAGTCAGCTATTTGTAAATTAAGACTAAGTCAGCTGTTCTCAGAAGGTCGTAGATGTTTATTGACCAATCCCTTTTTATGATTCCAAGATTGTGGAAATTGAGGCAAAATAATTTTTTTCACTCTGATGCATAATTTTTAGTTTATTGCAAATTTTCCTGCCAAAATGTTCAAGACGTTGGGTTGAAGTGATGGCTAACTCTCACCTGCAGGTGGCGGTATTTCTTACTCGGACTACCCTGGTGACTCAGCATTACTTGATGTCAAGTAGGACATTAAGTATCAAAACTTGAGCCATTAAAATTCTTTAAAGAATAAAAATGTGCATGTATTCAATCTTTCATATTTTTTCTTCTGTATCTAGATTTTTGGAAGGGCTTTAATGAGGAAAACTTATTAAAAATCCCTGGCCAATATTTCTAAAGTAGCACTATAAAAATCTATAATTTTAAAAATCACAAAAACAATCATGAAATCCCAGAGGGACTGATTAGCGAACATAGTTGAACATCATCATAATAAAGGCCAAGGAGCACAGCAGCATCAACATCTTCATCAAACTGGTGTTAATGGAAAAATAAAGCCATTAAAACCATTTGCAGTCACACATTATGTTGAAGAAGAAGCTGCTAAAAAATTAATGACATTTTGAATCTGAGGCAAGCTTCAAAATTGCTGTTCACAAGTGGCATTTGTGGAAAGCTTGAGCAATTTTGCTGCATAAAATGCAGTTTTTGTTGTAACACGACAAAATGTAAGAGGAAAAAAAGCTAGCAGTATCTTTTCTGGAAAAGAGTTTTCACTTAGTCACACATTCTGATTATCTGATGTTTTCACAAAGGATCCAGCAAAAAAATTCAGTTTCGGTTTATTCATTCACACACAATCCAAAAAGACCATAAGCCATAGGATTTAGCTTAGACATAATAATGATGATGATGTTGGCATTGCATCAGACCAGGATAAGATGTTACGTGATAAATTTGGACCAGTACATTCCTCACCAGTGCTCTTGTTTTCATTTGCTAGATTCCGGTGTTTAAAGGTGCTGCTAAATCCCTCCTTGGCATCAGAGTCGGCGATGAAAACTTCCACGGTCAGGACGGCCTCGGAGACGCCCCCGACGCCTGCGCTCCTGGTCCGGACCTGATTCAGGAGGAGAACGCCGTGGCGGCCATAATCCGGATCGTTAATGAGAACCCTGGAGAGGTGAGAAGAGCTGAGTAAAACTTGTTACTGTTCGTTCTGCATTTTCTGAGTCTGTACGTCGCCCAGGTGTCGTTGGTTGCCACGGCGCCCCTCACCAACCTGGCTCTGGCTGTGAGGATGGATCCAACTCTGCCAAACAAACTCAAAGGACTCTACATCATGGGAGGCAACACGAAGTGTGAGTGAAACACTGATGGATATAGGATGAAATATTTTCCACTTTGATGTGTTTGCAAGCAAAAATAAAGAATAAACTGGGAGAGAAATGACCGAGACTTAAATCTGGTAAGTCTCCTTCCAACAGGAAGTGACACGTCTAGTTCGGGTTCATCCAGAAAGTCCTGCCTCCCTCAAAGCACAGACTTCTGAGCACTTGGGTCTGGTGTTTCTGTGGTTTCTGCAGTGGAAACACGTTTAGGGAGAGAAACTAACCCTGAAAACTATTCGTATTTGTTTCTGTGGGGAAAATGCACATCACCTTAACCAGACCATGTATTCTTCACTTAGCTATGCATAAATTATGTTGGTCATTATGAGTGAGTCCGCCTCAGCTGACTGTGTACTTTTATTCTGATTCAGACTTTATGCAGAAAAGAGATTTACTCTAAAGAATGGCTAGTTTTAATTTTTTAAGAAAAAGGCAAAAATCCCAAACTTCTCCTAACAGCCTGTGGGAATCTCTGCTATTGTGTAATAACATATTTCCTCTTTAAGTCAAAAATTTCTGTTATTGTAACGGATATATTCTCTACTGTTGAAGTAGTTTTGCAAACTAATTACATATTAGGATTTATTTCATGGGACTTGCTCTCCCCTTCGTCTCGCATGCATAATGTCGGTTTGATCTTACAGAACTTTAATCTTCTTCTCTTTTTTTTTTCCGGGTTCTTCTCTTGTTCAGCACGAGGGAACACCACGGTGTGTGGCGAGTTTAATTTTGCAGCCGATCCAGAGGCAGCGTACATCGTGCTGAATGATTACCAGTGTGAAACTTACTTGGCGTGCTGGGAGTTCACCTGCTACAGCCAGCTGCCCTGGGTAAGACTCGTTTCAGCTCCTAAATCTAATTTGTTGTGAAACGAACCAAACTATCCACCACAACTGAATTACTTAGAATATTGTGTCATTGTGAAGGTCCGGAGCCACAAGAGGCTTTCTGGACCTTCCACAGCGGCTCTTATTAAAGTGATAAAGAACCAACTAATGTATTTAATTAAAGATATAACATGCAGGTTTTGGCAAACGTTTTTTTTTTTTTTTTTTTTTATTCAAAAATTTTACAAAATATTCACAACACATTAGGTAGAAATATATAAACTTTAGAGGAAAGAAATTATTTTTTTCATTCAATTTTCAACAAATATCAACATCCCATAGAAAAAACTGGATCCCTGCCACTTTACTTCAACATCTTTTGCATTTTTCTTTGTTTTTAAACCTAAAATTGTAGATAGAATGATGGTCCTTTTAAATGCTTGAACACATTTTCTATATTTATTAAAAAGACCATGTAACATTTGTAGCTCTAAATAAGGGTTATTTGTCGTCTTGTTTTAGTTTTACTGCCGCTCAGATGTCCTGAGGATTTGTTAAACATTTTATTTTGCATTTTATTCACAATGTCTTGTGTGTACTTGATGTTTTAGCGGAGTCTTTCTTCACATTGCTTTTTCAATCAATGACACAGACACATTATAATAATATGTCCTTCACCTGAGTTCATCCAAGGTTGATTTATGACACTTACAGATGTCATTTTTTGTTCCTCCAAGCCTGAAAGACAAAAAGCAAATACCTACCGGATGATTTCCCCACCCTATTTTTCTATTTATAACCTGTCCAGTTTGTGCCTGCTGTCATTTCTCCAGGACTTCTGTGACGCCTGGTTGGGTCAGGACAGCGACAAAGCTCGCTTCATGGCGAAGATCTTCCGCCACAGTATGGAGGAGGCCAAGAAAAACAGCGGCTGCCTGGGTTTCACGGGCTTCATTTCCTGTGACTCGTACGCCATGGCGGCGGCGGTGGACGACTCATTCATCACAAAAAGCGATCGTTATCCAGTTAGCGTTGAACTGACGGGAACTTACACCAGAGGAATGATGATAGTGGATACTCTAGGACTGCTAAAGAAGACACACAAAGCGTGTATTATGAAGAAGGTGGACATTGAGAAGTTTAAAAAGATGATGATGGCAGCTTTGAAATGACATCTGCGAATGGAGGGAACTTAGTTTCTTAGGTGGGTCTGACGACTCAGTGATCCAGGTAAAAGCCTGACCATTTACACCTGGTATGGAATCCATCATGAAGGATCAGATCTCAGTACTGGTGACCAAAAAGTGAAACAACAGCCGGTGTGTGGGCAGCTGATCATCAAAATGCAGCCAAGAAGGCGAAATCATCTTAAAAACAGATGGAGTGAAACTATAGAGAAATCAGAACTGTATCCATCTGTATGTTTTTCCACTTACCTGAGATTTATCCTTTATCTCCAAGAAGGTAAACTGTGACATCGCTCCCCTGCTTGATTTCTCATTCGTATCCCTCGACAGTGGGTGAAGATCTGAACCTAAATAAACACTTTTATGACCGCAACAGACCAGAAAAACTTCCTAACCACAAGAAACTTCTTATTCCCTACTTATTAAACCTTGAACTCATCATATTATGACCTGTAACCTGTTTCTTTGCAGAAGCAGTTTACTGCTGTGGAGCTTTTTGTCTTTTGCTCATTTCTTTGTTTAAACATCAGAGTAAAAACTGCTGTTTGATTCGAGTCCATTCAGGTCAGTTTGGTGCTTCTCGATCACCTCTGACTTTGCTTCAAGAAAAATGCCCTCAAGACAAAATGTCTGTGCGTTAAAGGTTGATTTCCTGACATTTACTCACTGACACAAAACCGGGAAACAGCAGAGCAGCACCTTTTCTAACTACCAAGCGCTGTACACTTACTTTCCAACTTGACTCTCACTACCTCTGCTGGTATCTTGGAGGCAAAAGGAAGGACTTCATCATTCAATCATGAATAACATTTTGTGTTGCTTTGGACTTTTACTAGGACAGCAACATGGCATGTAGACATTATGGGTTGGCCTTGAATGGAGATTTGAAAGAGTCTTCAGCCTGAAGTTTTCGTAGAGGACCTGTAACGTTTTATTGTGTATTTCCTAGATTTGTGTTTATTGAAAATAAGTTAACTCCAGACCACCATGTGCAGCTACATAAAAACAATAATAAAAATGTTTCTTGTATGGAGGGGGAAATATGATTACTGTGCTCCAACTGTAGAAACTGTCAAAGGTTGTGGTTAAACTTGAAGTGTTAACTTTCTAGGGAAACCAAACTGTAGAATAAGCTCTATAAACGGTTCAAGGTTCATTGCTCACATTTTTTTTAAAAAAGTTTTTGTAGTACTTCTTTTCCAATTTTGGACAAGAAACCCCGTCTACTTCAAAAATAAATAAATAAATAAATCAGAGGTGGCATTAGATTTTTCTTGTGTATAAGAAATGCTGAACATTTTTATGTGGAAAAGTTGTGCATTAACAGAAATCTAAAAATGATATTTTAAACAAGCTTCTTTGTGCCTTTGATCTGATTTAAACATAAATAGTCATTTACGCCCAGCATTCATTTCAAGGACCAAAAACATCCTGGCTGCACATCGGACACTAAGCTGCATTTGACATGAGAGCAACCTCCTGTATTTTAGAGAACCAGTCTGCTCTACAAATGTTGAATCACATTAAAATGTGTTTTTGTTTCAAACGTTTTCTGTAATCTCCGGTCCAGCTCGTTTATCCCCGTCGACATAATGTTCGAAATATCTCCATACTGTATGTGAAACTTTCAAAAGGAAGTATGCTGAGACTTTTATTTTAAATGGGAATAATGACACTTTTGTCAGAGTGAAATGTGATTTAATGGTTTCCCTTCAGTTGAGAAATTTTAAACATGTCTAATGCATATCAGGGTAGTTTTCTGTTATGGAAAAAATAAATAAATAAATTTGTTTTCTTTCTTATAGGTCCCATTATTCTTTGTTTTATATTTTATTGTCTGTCTTCAAAATTAACAGTTTTTAAGTAGTTATTTTTATTTAAGTCCTTCAGCCAGTTTTCTTTTGTCATTAAATCTCAGCATTTCAACTCTTTAGTTGATTCTTGAGTCATTTCCACCGCCATTGTAATATCTAGAGTATGTGAAAAGGTATTTGTCACCTCTACGCATCTATACTGATATTAAAATCTTTCTGATCACCAAACAAATGTTTATATTGAACAAAGGTAAGTAAAGACAAAAGTCTGTTTTCAAATCACGACAGGGAAACAAGCAATCCAAACCAACCTAACATCTGATTTCCTCTCTTTTTTATGAGCTCAGACTATGTTTGATTTATACTGACATTTGTACAGGATCTGAAACATGTTAATGTTGCAAAAGAAAAAAAAAAAAGCAGAAACTGAAGGAATATGGGGGCGGGGGGATAAATAGGTTTTAGCCGCACTGAGTGAATTCTACATCAGCACAAATCCAAGAAAAACAGAGACAGGAGTATATTCAAACATTCCTTTATTATAAAGCATCTTATGATTTTTATTTAGAAAGCTTCTTCTGTAAATTGTCTGTACTTAACACAAAGCGCATGGCAGTCTGCTGAGAATTCCCCAAAAGGAACCTAAATTATTCTGAGAGGAAGAAGTAAAATCTGTCAGCAGTGACGTTGTGAGTGATATTCAGAAACCTCCCAGCTGGAGCTGCAGTCTGCGGCGGAGACGATGCAGAACTGACCCTTCACTTGAAGGCAGGACATCTCAGACTTGGGACATTTCTGGGCGTGTGCAGGTACTGAACAGAGGTCACGCAAAGTGACCTTTGCCCCTTATTTCAGCTATTTTCTAGGAATCAGGGTTCATCTTTGGTTTTAGTGTGCTGATGTATGGACTATATTCAAAAACATTGAATCTGTACCAGTGATTCTGAAGGCTATCATCTTTAATGAGTTCCCCAGATTTACCTCTAAAGCACATTGTGTTTTTCTACAGTCCACACCACAAACAGTCTTCTACTGTTGAGTAAATTATTAATTAACATCTGGCTTCCTGTTTTGTATCTTTCGTCATGTACAACCTGCTTGTGATTCAGCTGGTTTTCCGCTCAAAGGTTGTTTTCAGCCGACTGTCCCTGGCTACATTTAGTCAGGAACGTCAACCGCTTCATACTTCCTACATCAAGTTCCAGGTATGTGCGAATGTTTCAGATCGTTTGTGAGGATCTAGTTAGACGTTTCCAACGTCCAGTTTTATGGTACATTCGAACTGTATTGAAAACTAACGTTTTGAGGTTGTTTCTGAGTCAGACATGAACGTGTGCTCTTGCAGGGTTCAGGATGACGAAGAGGCTGCTGGTGGACGTGGACTGTGGCGTGGATGACGCTCAGGCCATCATGCTGGCGCTGGCCGCCCCCAATGTGGAGATCTTGGGCATCACCTGCGTGCACGGGAACACCGCGGTGGAGAACGTGTGCAAGAACGTTCTGCGGGTTCTCCAGGTCTGCAATAAGCTGGAGGTGGGTCAAAGTAGTCGCACTCATTATCTCTGTTTAGTGCTGTTGCATATTGGAAGTAGTTCTCTTTGCGTTGCACTGAGTTCTCGCTCATGTTTTTTTTTGGGGGGCCAGATTCCAGTCTTTAAAGGCGCTGACAGGCCTATCCTTGGGAAAAGACTAAATGCGGGATCCTTTCACGGGAAGGACGGCCTGGGCGACGCTCCTGACCCCGACGCTCCAGGTCTGGACCAGCTTCAGAAGGACAGCGCCGTGTCGGCCATCGTCAGGATTGTTAACGAAAACCCAGGAGAGGTGAGAGACGCAGGACTGTCAGATCGTTTCCTCCTCATGTGCAGGTTCTGAACAGAGGTCACGCAAAGTGACCTTTGCCCCTTATGTCAGCTATTTTCTAGGAATCAGGGTTTATCTTTGGTTTTAGTGTGCTGATGTATGGACTATATTCAAAAACATTGAATCTGTACCAGTGATTCTGAAGGCTATGATCTTTAATGAGTTCCCCAGATTTACCTCTAAAGCACATTATGTTTATCAATGTGAGTTTTAAAGAACTTTAGGTAGCAAACAGCATTATGAAGATCAAGAAACAGAGACTGCAAAAACAAGATTCATAGCTTCAAACTGTTCAGTGTGAATGCACCATCCTCACTGTGAAACATTGTGGTGGCAGAGTCATGCCACGGTGATGCTTATTTCAGCAGAAGCAGAGAAGCTGGTTTGAGTTGGTGTGACGGTGAGCGAACTCCGGACAACGACCCTAAACATACCGCCAGAGCTGCATTCGAGTGGCTCACATAAAAGCATATTCAAGTGTTAGAACGGCCCAGTCAAAGACCAGACAACAAATCAGCTGAGAATCTGGGGCATGACTTAAAGATTGATTGTCATAGATGTTGTCTATCCAACCTGAAGTCTGTGTGATTTACCGTGTGTGAATACTTTAGCTGGGCTTGTTCATGGTGTGACGACTTAGTGCCGGGTTATAGCCTGAGAAAACATTGGAAGGATTTCAAACTCAGCAAATCTGAGCATTCTTTTTCATGGGTGATGGTTCAAGAAGCAGAAATTAAAGATTTAAGCTGCAGAAAAGACCCAAGTACATGAAAAGGGTTTGGTGATTAGTATGAATTTTAGATGAAGTAATGTTAAAATTATGCCTGCTTGGTACTGAAAAAAAACACCCTTCAGAAAGATAAAAGGAAAAACTTCAGTTAAAATGTGAATGCTGATGTTTGTGGTAAAATACACAGATAAAGTCACAAAGATGGCTTCATGTACTGCAGTTTTATGAGCGACTGTGTACTCTGTATTGTGTGATGAAATGAGGGCACATGATTAAATATTACATTTTTTATCAGGAAATGTTTACATATCAGCGTTTAATCTCATCTTTCTTCTTTGATTTTGGAAAAGAAAGCGAAAACATCAGATATCTTTCTGGTTTTTAGGTCTCCGAATGACATTTTAGAGATTTGGGAACATCTTGAGCATCAACTTGTGTAGATTTCCAGGGCTGAGTTACTGGGCAGCTGTTTTGAATGTCCATCATCTTTTAGTGTTTTCCAAACGTTTTGAGTCCACTTCTGATCCCTTAGCAGACTTATAAACCGCTAAAGTCAAACTAAACATGTCAGGTTTCTAAATGCTACTTTCATAATATTAAGCAGGAGCAGATGTAGAAGTGTCTGCATTTGTTCCACACCAGAAACAGCATTTTATGTATTATTATCATTCTTACATGTATCATTATTGCATGAATTGTTTCAAAATATCCATGCGTTTATGTAATAATTAAAAAATAATAATAATAAAGTTGTTTTTTTTAGGGTGTCCTTCTTTGTTCATGTTGTTACATCTCTCAGGTGTTACTGGTGGCCACAGCGCCCCTCACCAACCTGGCTCTGGCTGTGAGGATGGATCCGTCTTTGCCGGCCAAACTCAAAGGACTCTACATCATGGGAGGGAACACTGAGTGTGAGTGAAACTGATCACTAGTTTCAAGGAGCCGACTTTTATCACAGCTACAGGGAGCTCACAGTAAATCAGCGTAAAGTCACAGACTTTTATTTTTACTCTGAAAGTTTACTGACAAATATGCTTTTCGGGGTTACACTGGGTTTAGTACGGCAAGCATTTTCAAAGTAAGAGTGCCACAAATTCTGGTTTTATTAATAGGCTGCGTTTTTTTTTTTAAATAATAAAGCGCAGAAGAATTGGCAAACTGGATGCCTTTCTCTTAATAAGGCAAACAGGCAAAATCCTCTTAAAGTTTTGGATATGCAATTATTCACACATCTTCCTACAGAAAACCTGACTGCTTTATTTTATTAATTAAAACACTGCAGGTTTGACTCATTGTTGAGCTACTAAAAAAATTCACAGTAACATTTTGTGATTTTATTTCTCAAATGTGAAAACTTTTGTGGTTTATAGTATTTAAGATATATTTCTCGTCACTAGTCATTTAGTTGAAAAGGTCGTTTTTGAGAGTTTTTTTTTTTTTTACATCAGTTTTCACAAATTTTGACGTCCTACTGAGAAAATCCATCCTTCTTCTTTTAGATTACCAGTAAATGAAATGGTGGTTCTTAAAAAATGTTTATTGATATTATCAGTTATTGTTTTTGTACAAAATGTTATGCAATATTTGCTAAATGTCTCTAAATGTGTTTCACTTTGCTGGACTGAAGACAAAAATGAATCTTTGGTTTGTAAAAGTTGCGGCGCTCTGGTCCAAACTGACTTTTGTTTTGTGGTTCTGTTCTGCAGCCCGAGGAAACACCTCGGTGTGTGGCGAGTTCAACTTCACTGCTGATCCAGAAGCTGCATACATCGTGCTGAATGATTACCAGTGTCCAACCTACTTGGCCTGCTGGGAGTTCACCTGCTACAACAAGTTGCCTTGGGTAACCTCTCATTTCCATACTTCCTCATAAGCGGATGAATGTGACTCATTATCGTTATTTATCTACAGTAAACGTTGCAGCTGCTGAACGTTTTCGTTTCTTCAGGAGTTTTGCGACGCCTGGCTGGCGCAGAACAGCCACAAAGCTCGCTTCATGGCGAAGATCTTCAGCCACAGCATCGAGGCGTCGAAAACCGAACGCTTCGAGAAAGAGTTCATCGCGGGTTCAGGCCTGATTTCCTGCGACTCGTACGCCATGGCGGCCGCCGTGGACGACTCCTTCGTCGTGAAGACCGACCAGTTCCCGGTTAGCGTGGAGCTGGCGGGCACGCACACCAGAGGGATGATGATAGTGGACACACTGGGCTTACTGGACAAGACGCACAAAGTTTTTATCATAAAAAACGTAGACATGGAGAAGTTCAGGAAGATGATGATGGCGGCTCTGAAATGAGAGTCTTAACTTGATCCGGTGGTCGGTGCTGTCCTCCACATTTTTTGTGGTTCATTTAGTTTTTGTATTGTAAAACCCAGTTACCTCAACAACACAATGACTCCACTAGACAAACCCTTGACTTTGGTCATCATTTATTTAAGTTGATGATTTTCATTCAAAATAAAAAATGTTCTGACAAAGAACGAAAACATGTCGAACGCTCCAACTAATGAGAGCTCTCGTCTTTTCCCATGTGAAAGATCATTAATCCTGCTGTGGGTTCTTTCACAACCTGTAGTTTGTTGCTACTCTTCCCCACCTGTGCTTCACATGAGGTGTTCATAATGCTGAAGATGCAGCATCACACACGTTGCTGCACTGGCATCAGTCAACACAAGCATACAAACTGTTCAGTCTTGTCACCAGGAAACATTCGTTGGTTCCTCAGTATCCCTTCCTCCCTCTGAATCGCGACCTTGTGTCCAGCTGCAGATAGAAGATGTTCAAAGTTGTTTGTTTTTATTCAACATTGAAGGCTTTGTGCCAAACAGCTGACTGACTCACCATGGACCTCTTGCACTCAAAGAATGAGGTCTGCAGCGCTTTGCAGTGGCCTTCCTTTAGGCACTCACTGGGCATCTTTCCCTCCTGGTGGACAGAGGGACACCTTAAAACACTCCGATCTATACTGAGGCAATCACAAGAGCTTTTAGAAAGGCCACTGATTAAGTTTTATGCTTTGAGTTGAAATTACAAGTATTTCTTCTTTACTCAATTTTGTGGCATCAAAGAAACTTATTTTAATTGTCTTAAATAGAAGATGTTGCAATATGTGACCCTGAAGCGTTACGCTTTTTCTTCTTTGGAAAGGTTTTTGGTACAAATGTTCTGGTCTGTTCTGATCAGAAATCAGTAATGATCAATAAAAAGAGGTTATGTCACTTTTGTTGTATAAGTTACTAAACTTTACATCAACAAACCAATTGACTTTTCTGTATTAAGGCCAGAGAGTGAATAGCATTCATAAAAAGTATCCACTCCTTTTGATTTCTTTTTTGTTGCTTTTACAAATCAATCTTGATCAATATAATTAGCTTTTGTGACAAAAATGAAGATAGAAAAAAAGCCTTATATATCAAAGTGAAGACTTATTTCTGCAAAATTAGGACAATTAAGCAGAAATATGTAACATAAAATAAGCTGCATAAACCTCGACTCTGTAAAGTGATTGAGCTAATTCAATAAAGGTCCAGCCAATTGGTAGCTGGTAGAATCACAATGAAGGGAATGCAGGTCACATGAGAGCAATGAGCTTGTTTCAAGTGATTATAGTTCAAAAACACTTGTCTGGACGGTCTAGCCACTTATTAATCAGTATTCCTGGCTGTCATTACAACATAAAGACAAAACAACACTCCCAGCATATCAGAGGAAATTATATTGAAAAGTATAAATCAGGGGGTGGATACAAAAAAATCTCCAAGGCACTGAACAGTCCTCGGTTAATTAATCGATTCTGTTTGGGGCTACAAACATTTTCGCTACAATTTACAATTTGTTGCACAACTGCGTGCAAAGTTAAGCTAGTAAACCATACCTGAAATACCTTTAAATAGACATTTGGTTAAAAAAAAAAGACTTATTTAACTAGGTCACTCCTAAATAAAGCAACTATTCTCTTAAAATGTCACATGAATTAGACACAGCCTCCAATTGCGCTGTGTTTTTAATTCAAGAGTCCGTAGGGAACGTGTTTGGATTCAGCTGTGTGGTCTTATTTCCTGGCCTGTCCAGGTGTAAACAGTGTTTTCATTTTAATTGGTACCTGAAGGGTGCACCACCTTACCTTCACTACGCAGTCGTGCTGAAGGAGACAGGCCTTGAAGTCCTCTCTGATGCCGGCGCAGGCTCTGGTGTCTTCCTCTTTATCCTCGTAATATTTAGGCATTTTTCAGAAATCACGCCAACAACAAGAACACACACTTAACAAACCGCGGGCTGCAATAATTCACGCGTAAACAGCGGCGACATGCAAATGTTATGAAATACTGCGAGCCGCCATGATTGTGAAAGGCATGACGGGAAGGCGGAAGTACACGTGCATGCTGGGAACGTTTGTAGTTTTTTTTTATTGCCTGCACTCATGTAACGTTCGAGTGAATTTCTGGCCGTGTCGTGCGTGTTTTAAATAAAACCTGGCAATGCGGGTGGGATGAGTGATGAAAGAACAAAATCACAACACAAAGATGACCATTACTTCTAACCAGAACAGTTTATTTAAAATTCTACTTTCATGGAAAATTGATGCCAAAAATATCACCAAAGTCAGGCAAACATATGAACACGATGAAGGCACGTAAACTGATGAGCATTGGAGGTGATTGGGTGACTGTCCTTTGTGTATTTTTTTTTATTTTATGGTTAGTCCTCTTCCTTAAGGAGTCAAAACCCCAAAGATCACATGACAATTCTTCCCTTACAGATGTTCATTTTTTTTGTTTTTGTTTATGAAAGCAGAGGAAACATCATGGAAGGAGGAAAATGTCATTTTCAAACATTACCAAGCTCAGATTTCCAAAATAAAATATGAACTGGAGAGACTGGACGGAGCACATACTTCCATTGGGTTGAAACCCATTTAGATCTAAACAGAAAATGTTTATAAATTACATGTCATGAATGCAAACAAGCACAAGCCAGAAATCCAAGCCATTAGAAAACAATCCCACCTAAAGGCACTTCACTAACCCCTTAGCAGTGAAAACAACAATCACTAATACAAAAGATCGGTCAAGTTTCACTTACAAATAGTTTCCACTGAGAAAGTTGGCCACAAACATGAAAATGTAGAAAGAAACTACTTCAAACGGGAAAAGAAGTGAGAGAATATATATTTTAGATGTATGTACAATCAGAAGTGCACTCTAATAATCAGTAGTCATGTCCTGCCCAATAAAAATTGACAAAATAAATGGCTGAATTTGTTAAAACGATGCGTGAAGGTGAAAAGTGAGGTACAATGAGGACAGTGCGATTTAAACAAAAAGTAAAAAAAAAAAAAAAACAAAGCAGTGCAAATATCGCTATGTCAGAGATTGCGTTCACATAACTACGTCTTTCACTAATTTTGGACAGCAGTAAGATAGTCTTTGACATCAGTTTATACTGTTGTTTTTAAATATTAACATGCAATGTATTTCTCGGGAAGAAACCAAGAGGGAACGGATTATAAAGATTTTGGGGCAATTTTTAAGATAACTGTGTTATAAGGCACATTTTTCCTATTTTAGACCCATATCTACAACAACAGGGTTCCTACACTTCACATATTTCAATATTCAACATGTTCTACATCAGTTTTCTAATAGCCTAACCAATTTTAACCAAGGTCAGATTGTTTTTATTTTCCTTTTCATTTAGGGTTTTGTATTAGTGTGCTCCAAATATTAAAAACGGCAGAGGAAAAGTGTTTTGCGTCAGTAAAATCCAGTAAACTGGTGCCATCTTTCGATGGCGCCAGAAACTATCTGAAAAGCACGGATATAAAAACTTGAGTCTATTTTTATAGCTAAATTCTCTCTACATTCAGCTCACTTGAGTATTAAAATCATGATATTTTTACAGCTTACTTTATTACATTAAGATATCAGGAAAGTTGAGTTTCGAGTTTTATCATCCCAGGACAACAAGTATTACAGCTTTTAACTCTTCATACTGAGAAACCAACATCTCTAGATCATTTTGTTTTGATAATTTCCATCACTTTATCTTCAGAAATTGAAATTTCAAATTAGTTTTGGTGGTATAACGAAAACGGCTTGGGTGTTTTTACATGTACTACTTGCATCATTGTTCTATTACAGAAAGATAAAATGGTCAAGCTTAATTTGTTATGTCACATTATTTCAATATTTCAGACTCCAGAGCTTTAAGCAACTCCTTACACAGCAAAACCAAGACTTCGAGATCATCTTCTTGGTTTTTCCGTTCTAGCCTGAAATTATAAAAATAAAGGTTTATAGCAAATTGTTATCTCAGTATCTTAAAAGGTTGCGACTGATTGTGTTTGTGATTGTGTTTTCAAAACGTCCGATTTTTATGTTCTTGACAGAGGAGCACAGAAGATTGTAGAAAAATAATTTGACACAAGTCAACGTGTTTGTTACAAAGCATGAAGTGTGAATTAAGAGTTTCCTTAATGTGTAGGAACCCTGCAAACAGGTTATGCAATTAAAATTAATGCAATTCAGGATTTTGAATGTATGCCATGAATATAAGGATGCACAGAAGCAATTCGGATTAAAAAGAAAAAAAGTACATAAAAACAGACTCATAACTACCGTAGACATCTCTTAAAATAAAATATATTTTACCTCTTGTACAAATTAAAGATTTATTTTCAATAAATTAAGTCAACTTCATAGCTCGTCGGTCATAGCTGTAATAATAATAATAATATCAGTATAACAATATATTTCTCCGGGGAAATGTAGCCAGGCTAATGTCCATGTTAGTCGACTATAAACTGACCTCAAGGTCAAACAGCAAGTCAGACAAAAAGGTGAGAAAGATTGGACGTCAAGGTGCTGATTTTCTTTATGGATCACTAGGCTGCCCTACAGTCAAATATCACTCGGATGGATTATGGAACAATAAGCTCACCAGCGTAACAACAGGACCGGTATTTGTTTGATTGCAGTGAAGAAGAAAAAAAAAAAAGACATTTGTTTGGGCTGGTGTTGGTTGATCTAGAGTCACGTGTTGGAGGGTAGACCTCCACCATTTCTGCTCGGAACGGAGAACAACTGGCCTTTAGAGACGTAGACATTCTTGATCATCGCTGGGTTCGCTGAGGCACTAGAGACAGTGCGATGCCCCCGCTCGCCCAGGTGTGGCAGCATTGAGTAACTGAGGGATTTGGCAGCATCTCCACCACTGGCCAGGTGGACTGGTTCTCTCCACCTGTAAAGATTCGGCCTCTTTCATCTGGAAACTATCTGACTGGTCTCCAAGCTGCTCAGCAACACAGTCACTTTGAGAGTCCGAGCTGCTGCGAGCAGATGTCTCCACACCCTCCTTCGTTGATTGCAGACAGTAGCATTCCCATCCTCAAAAATAAATGGAAATTCACAAGAGTGTTGGAGTCGTGGAGAAAGAGAGGGGAGAAACCGATAAATAAGAAGCAAAAACAAAGCAAATAAGGAAGAACGGGGACAAAGGAGCTGGGATTTCTTAGACAACTCTAAGCTCTAATCACTTCTCTGCTGGTTGCTAGGTACTAGAGACCCCGCATTAGCAGTCTGGGAGATTTTGGCCCTCCAGGGGCTGTGATTCATGTGTCTCCTGCAGAATAATCAGCCAGATACCCTCTTTATGTGGATCTGCAATGAGAGAGCATTTCATTCAGTTATTCGCCCGAGTAGGCACAAACAAAGAGGGTCTCCACATCTGGGAAAAAGTTGAACATGTGGTGACCTGGACAACTGACTTACCTCACTGAGGATGGCCCACACCGCAGAGTCTTTCAGAACGGAAAGCCGAAGGGCAACGACAGGGTTGAAGGCTGGATCTACCGCTCCCTCTGCCACACCTTTCTCAAAATTACCTGAGAGTTCACACATGAACACACAAAATCATCGAAATCTTGGCCATCTTCACTGACTCAGAACAATACTTGAAATGCTAGAAACTAGGGCAAAATGTGAGTCATGGTTATAAACTGATGAGAGCAGAGAGAACAATTATCTTGCAAATTATCAAAAAATGAATAAGGAAATTGTGAAGAGAACATGCAGAGGAAAATGAGAAGGCGTGTCACATGTTGTACACAAAGATGGAAAGAGAATAAAAGCAACGTATTCATGTAAAAGTACAGTTACTTTGACCAATTTAAAGTCATCAGTCTAAAATACAAATATACCTCATTAAAATGTTACTTTAT